CCCTGGGATTTTTAATGACCACAGAGAGTCAGGACCTCGGTTTTACGTCTCATCCGAAGGACGGCACCTGTTTTTACAGTATAGTGTCCCCATCACTATACTGGGGCATTAGGACCCACGTGGACCACAGGGTGAGCGCCCCCTGCTGGAACCCACCCCTTGTGGACAGTGCGCTGCAGGAGGAACCTGTTTAACAGTGCTGGGCTGGGCTGGACACAGGCTGACCCCATGCAGATCATCTGGAGCAAAGCCTCTTCCCATGGAAATTCAGCATCCCGCTCAGCCACTGGAACTGCAAAACGAACTCTCCCTGGATTGGCCACCTCCTGGGTCGCACCGCTCGCCTCCCCCTGCCCTGCAGTGTTCCTGGAGAGGAGGGTGGGAGGGGGGATTTTCCAGTCGCTGGCGGTTCCCACAGTGTATAAAGGCTCCAGGGGCCCACAGAGCAGCTGCCACCTGTTGTCCACAGTCTAGCCCACGGTGACGCCCATTCCACACTGCACCTTGTCCCCGCGGTGGTTGACAAATGCCCCCATCATCAGGACGGCGGGAAGCGGGGACAGACGCTTCTCCAGGACCCCCCCAATGATGCACCTACTGTCGAGCATTCCTGAAAGAGGTCGCCCAAGACAGAACAGAAATATACGTTTCCCTTCGCACTGGCATTTTCAAAATCCCCTCAGCCCAAACAGCGCAGGCAACAGCGAGAGCACACACAGTCCAGATGGAACATGCTTGGCATAGCACGGAAAAAGGAACCACAACTGCAAAGACATACTTACAATCCAAAACCCATAAGGACATGGTAGGTTTGGTAGAAACAGAGGTGGCATACTGGGGAATTTAACCAAAGTCATGGAGCTTCAAAGACAAATCCTTACATCCAAAGCACAAGCAGCCCATGAGTTTAAACAACAAGAGGAAGTCACATGGCTTTCTGTGCTGGGCGGCAGTTCCCTACCTCTGAAGGTCATGTTGGCTTCTGGAAGCTCCAGCTGGTAACCAAAGCTGAAGATGGTCTCCTGAGTCCTTGTGCTCGCCTCAAACTCCACGCCTACCTGGATCTGTACACATGGACACAGCAACATAGGGGTTAGATCCAAGAGCAGGTGGCTCCCAACCACTTCCATATTACTCTAGTCGATCGAGGAACAACACAGAGCCGTGTCACATTGATCCCAGTTAATCAGCTTTTTTCATTTTGCTTTTGCACTTTGCATTTTTTCCTTTCTCACTGTTTAGAAATGTCATGTTTCTCTTAGTGCATGACCACAAAAGTGTTAAACGCCTATGTACAGTACATAAAAACTCCATAACCTAGTTACACTATATTTTCTTACTGGAGCCAGCCATGCTGATGCAGCTCCCCACTCAAATCTATATTTTTACCGTTCATATAGAAATGAAATTTGCCTTCTGTTACAAATGTACCACATCTGGTACAGCTTTAAACCAGCACTTGAAATGTCTGACTTTCTTGTGCTGCTCAATTGTGTACACCACTCATTTTAGATCAAGATTCTCTTTTGTCTGCATCTCTTACATTTACTATCCACGTATAAAATAAGAAAGGTTCACATGACTCAAGTGCGAAATGCAAATTACAGAATGGTTTCAGGAACTGATCTTTTGTGTACATCAAGGTGTGTCTGCATAGTGACATATGAGTGACACTCCTATATGAGCCGAGACTGTCTGGTTGGGACCCTCCTGTACTGTACCTGCTTGTTGGCTCTGTGGTAGTAGCTGACATGGGCACCTCCCCTGCCAGCATTTAAAGTCGCCACCCAGCTCGGACCTTGGGAGAAGAAACAGGCTTTAAACAGCAAAGATGCCCAGACTGCCACTGGCTCTTATTCCTACACTTTTCAAAAATGTTTTAGCAATCTTTTGCAATTTGCTGCACTGCAATGACAAGAACTGTAAAAATCGCACTGCTACGTGCTTTACAAGGCTTCCATTAAAAAAAAATCTTTCTTGTTTTGTTTGTGATTGAACAGGATTTCTGTGCTTTAGAATGACAGTTTAATATAATAATTACTGTAGCTTTCTGCAGTTTACTGAATTGTAATTCACTGTCCTAAACCTACCTGAGTACTGCCCTGCTAGTGTGAGGATCCCGCCCTCCTCTGCCTGACCCCGGTGGTACACCAGTTCTCCACCCAGCACCAGATGAGGTGACACGCTCTGAAGGAAGTGTGCAACCATGATTACTGTCCCCAGGGAAACACCCACAGAATAAAAAGTGTTAACCAACTCTAGAAAACAAACCCTACAATCACGTGACACACTCACATACCAGCTTAACAAAAAACAACCAGTTTATAGCAAAAACATTTGATGTTGCTACAAAGAACATGAACACGTGAGGCGTTTTTCATCATTAAGGGAAAAGAAATACATAGTTCTAGGCTGAGAACTCAGTGATGTCTGAAAGCGTAATGAAACCTCATGAACATTTTCTCATCTCACAATGATGGTTTAAGTTAGATTATTTCTAAAGTGAAATTTTTTAAAATGCTAAAACGGCCAATAACTGTCATTCTTTAAAAAAAGACATGATTCACCAGGCTTGAGAGAACTCTTAACACATACTGTCTATGAAGTTAAAATGTTAAAAGTTCTTGGCTTACTGAATTATTAACAAAGCACCTTATAGAACATTTTTATGCATGCAGTACCGCAGTGATTAAATGTCACATCTGAAGCCCTGTCACAGAGTAGTCGGGCAAGATCCCAAGACCACTGTGCGACTAGATAGAGGGAGAGTGAGCTGAGCTGTCGGCTCTCACCTGACTCCTTTAAGATGTCTGGGTTGGCCAGAGTGCAGGCAGCTGTGAAGTCATTGCCTCGATATTCTGTCTCAAACTGCCAGGTCACAAACTGAGACTGCTGGGTCTTTAGAAGAGACAGAGGAGGAGCAGAGGAGAGTACGCAATAACAGAAGGACAGAGACCCCAAAAGAAGAGGGAGAAGAAAGATTTTGCGAGAGATTTTATACTCCTGACACAGACTCATAAAGAAATCCTAACATCTTGGGGAGGACACAGTCCATGTAAACTATTTTCTCATACCTAATATGTAATACCTCATATCTAATAGACTGGAATTTATCAGTGAGTTCCATTTAGCTAGAAATGAAGATCAGCAAAAAGCTGAATAAGCTTTTTATACTGTATGTATGTTACCAGCAGAAAGTACAAGGGATGAACATTCTTCATATGTCTACTTCTGTACTTGCCTTTTACAAGTTTTCCAATTCCTTCTTATGTACTGATTAAAGCTCATGTTAAAGCTATGAGATAACAGAGTTAAATGAAAGGGAATGCACAGCGCACATGGTATTTGGTCTAAATGAACTGGAAGCTACAGGATATGAAAGCACGGAAAAGAGACTGCAGGAGCGTGACACAGAGACGGAGAACAGGACTGGCTCACTTGGAAAACAGCCTTGGCTCGGATTCGCTCGCTCAGGCGCAGGAGCGAATGGGCGTTTAGACTGCCGGAAGAGTCCATTTCCCCGATGAGCATGGGGGAGTCCTGGACAGACAGAGTGAGAGTGAGGCAGGGTGGCTAATCGTCTCAATCCGCACAATCCACAGTAAAGTGTCCTGCATTTGCAATGCTTTTCAATTAAAAAAATTCAGGTATTTTTTGGAGTTTATGATTCCACCTAAAGCCCCAAGTTAAAACTGGAGAAAAACAAAAAAACTTGCAGTTGCTTTTTGGTAAATAATAATAATGATAATAATAATAATAATAATAATAATAATAATTGCTTACACTTATATAGTGCTTTTCTGGACACTCCACTGAAAGCACTTTACAGGTAATGAGGACTCCCCTCCACCACCACCAATGTGCAGCCCCACCTGGATGATGCGACGGCAGCCATAGTGCGCCAGAACGCTCACCACACATCAGCTACCAGTGGGGAGGAGAGCAGAGTAATGAAGCCAATTTATAGAGGGGGATTGTTAGGAGGCCATGATTGGTAAGGGCCGATGGTAAATGCGGCCAGGACACCGGGGTGTCATAGTTGCTTGCTTTTGTATAGCACAGTTTGTTTCCAGGATCCCAAAGTGCTTTACATGTAGGAGGGAATCTACTTTATCTCCTCATTAAAGTGTTCTTAATAAGATTATATTTACACATTATGTATATATTTACATTGTTTTGACACCATTCAATGTTCAAATGCAAAAGTCAAATTTAGCATTTTTTTCCTCTTTAACATTTTTAAAAGGTTGTTATTGGCGAGAAGCAGTAAAAATAAAAAATGCAGAATACGTCTGGTGATCTTAACACTAAAAGTTGAAAGTGCAGGTTAATTCGTTTTAAATCCGTATGAGGAACTTCTCGAGCACTGAAGTGTTTATTACTGCTGCTCACTGGTTCATCTATGCGGACGAGCCAGTTTCCAGAAAGATCGTCAGGTATTTTGTTTACTACACTTCATTGTTGGTAATCACATGCACACGGCAACAGTGAACACAGTAGGTTCTGGGCGTTTCAGATATTAAATCCCTTGACAAACAATCAGCTTTTAAATGGTTATCTACATAAACACCATCAGGGAACCCGTCTATCAACCTCAGCTCCCTAGACACAGAGAAAACTTCACAGAAAAGCATAAGGCATTTCTTGAACTTTAATCAAATTGAAGAACACCACAAAGCTGCAAAACAAAAAAAAACAGAAACATTTCTGAAAACCAAATGTGCACCTGTGATGTGTAATTAAGCAGAGACTGTAAAAAATCAACATGTGGTTCAATTCCTCTAGGCACATGTAGTAGATTTAAGAAATGTGCTTCTCTGGTGACATTATGACTGCAAAATTTCCCAGGGAACTGGGAAAGGACACAGGTAGCCTTCTGATTCTGGAGGGAGATCTCTATGGCTTCACATCTGTTCTCCAGTTTTACAACTGGTCCATGTGGTCCATGCGGGTCCTAATGCCCCAGTACAGTGACGGGGACACTATACTGTAAACAAGCGCTGTCCTTCGGATGAGATGTAAAACCGAGGTCCTGACTCTCTGTGGTCATTACAAATCCCAGGGCATTTCTTGAAAAGAGTAGGGGTGTAACCCCAGTGTCCTGGCCAACTCTCCCATTGGTCCTTACCAATCATGGCCTCCTAATAATCCCTATCTCTGAATTGGCTTCATCACTCTGCTCTCCTCCCCACTGAGAGCTGATGTGTGGGGAGCGTTCTGGCGCACTATGGCTGCCATCGCATCATCCAGGTGGGGCTGCACATTGGTGGTGGTGGAGGGGATCCCCATTACCTGTAAAGCGCTTTGAGTGGAGTGTCCAGAAAAGCTCTAAATAAGTGTAAGCAATTATTATTATTATTATGAGAAGAAAACCACCTAAAGCCCCTGACTCATAAAAGCTGAGCAACTGCTTACCACTTCCTTGCTGTCAGTGTCGGACTGGAGGTAGGAGGCATGGAAACGGTAGTTAGACGGTCCAACAGTGCTCAGGTGCAAAGTGTGTCTCACCTGGAGGTACGCAAAGAGCAAAAATCAGCGCAAAAGACTTTAAACCACCTGGGCAATAACCAAGGTCTGTTTCACCCCCAGAATGTAGTTACATAGTACCCAGTCGTTAGTATTTATGTCTTTATTATTGTTAATGGCACTCTACAGTTAGGTTGAAATACAATAAGATGAAGATCACTTCAAGGTATGATAACCTATCTGCATACATTAGTGCACTTCCTTCCTGTCTAATAAAACAACAATGCCTGAGTCACACCCTCAAAAGAAAAAGAGCCTGCTTCACTTATTTTTTCTGTTCTGGACTGTATATGCTGTTCTATGCTACCACCTGCTGTCTTCTTCCTGACAAAGTAGCAATACTCAGTTGCTTTAGCTGATTATGCTTGATTGCTATTGAACAACATGGAGCACAGGGAGTCATTTTTTCATATGATTGTATATTTCTAAAGAATGAAGAGAATTTTAAACAATGAGCAAGATGCTGAATATTCTTACCAGAATGTAACATTCATTTTTGATTCTGTCTTTTGAACGATTCCCAATTCATCACTCCCTGGTCCTCTCATACCTTAATTCCTACACTTCATGAATAGACCAGTTACCTGGGCTACATTTAGCACTGGGCTACCAAAGACTAACTCACACACAGTGACTGAGTCAGCAGAGGTAAAAGAGCTCACATCAATCTTGTGGCTACCATGACATGCAGAATTAAAGAAACGTGATATCATGGAGCTCTGGAATGAGGCTTTTGATTCTTGTTTGATCAAACTAAAATGATTGCTTTTGGTAATTAGCAGCCAGAGTTCTTCCCCAATTTTATGCAGAACCAATCGTACCAAATAAAAAAAACACAGGAAGAAAATACTGACTCACCTCAAAAAAACTGCTCAGGGTCTTGTTAATAATGAGCTTGATTCCTTCGATCTGTTGTGGGAAGACATCTGGAGAAGGCAGAGAAGATGGTGTTTTTAGAACTCGGACTTTGCAGTTTAAATCAGAATGATGTGGACGTAACGTAAGGTGGTTTGAGACGTCGAGTATAACTTTTCTCTAATTACTTGTGTTAAATAGAGAAATAGAGCAACATGCTCTCAGTGGACTGAAAAACTCTTTGCAGCTTGGTGATGGTCAATGTCTTTTCTGCAACTTGCAGATTTCATCCCAAAAAACAGATGTTCCAATTTGAGGAAGAAAACAGAGCTAAAGCTCTGTATGGTAAGAAGGGTTTTTCAGGGTATACTCACTGCAGGCTTGCTTATACATGACATTTATCGTGTTGTGACAAGATAACAACAACCAGGTCATCAAAACGGTAGGAATCTGACCATGGCCAGGGGTCACTCCTCTGACATGGCTTGAGTGACTTTTAGAGACCTGTTGAAAGTGACACTTTAGAAATGACTGAAAGGCAGAGATAACATTGCCAGGAATAACCACTATGCCATGATTTTTTTCCAATAGTTATATATATATATGTGTAGGTAATGGTCACTCATAAATACCTATCCATGATAGCAACATAGGGTGACCATATGTGTATGTGGACTATATGACTTTAACACTGTTGGGACACTATGGGGACTACTCCTTGTGTGTGTTCTTCAGAGATCTCCAGAAAGGGCCACTGTAATCATAAATTAAACCTCATCTCAAACCTTCACTGAACTGCGCTGTGGCTTTTTACTTCCCTACAGAACAGCCAGCTAAAATGTAATATTAAGCAGATGTGAATATCTGCTGTATCAGCGCAATACACACAAAAGCTTGCAGCAGGCTTTGCTCTAATGGCCCTGTGGTGACACACCCCTCTTCTTCAGGTCATCCCCTCTGATACCTTTGCAGCTACGATGCAGACCGTCGAAGCCACCAGGGTTGGTCAGGCGGCCATCTCTCTTGTCCCATCGTGAGTGGATGCTGTCACGTGGGAACGGCGAGTTCTGGCGAGCAGGGCGAGAGGACAGGGCTAGGACGCTGCCCATGGGGGCCAGGAGGGGGCGGCAGTGTCCCTCACAATGTCAAAGCAAGTTTCTGGAAGAAACGTACTGCGGTCAAAGCACCAATTTAGAAAACACCAGAAAAGTGGAATATGAGATAATGTACCTTAGTCGTTAAGCAGTAGCTGCCTGACCTCCCAGGCAATCAAACATGACCTGAAGGACATGTCTGGCTACCCCGTGAGATTTGCAAAGAGGCATGTTCAGAAGTTAATTCCACGCTACAAAGGAAACAAGAACAACATTTAAACTGCAGAACCTCTTCAAACGTCTACATAAAATAAAGGTTGGTCTTAAAAATCAATAATGATAAAAATACGGAATTTAAAGGCTTTTAAATCTCACTAAAGCAATTAAATACCAGTCATTTTACTACCTAGTGTAGCGCATTTGCAATTCACGTACACCACATGAAGTGTCATTTGTAAAAACGTAAGACTAAAATCTTTTAATTGTTTTAATTCATATAAATTATTCAACGATTAGAGACATTAACACTAGTCACACCTCCCGTGTTTTTCTCTCTTCTGTATTTATACGTGAAAATACACCACATTATCTGCTTCATTGTTCAGGCACAGTCGCTATTATTTAAAAAAAACATTCTCCTGGATTGTTTGTGTTGGACACAGGGGACGTTTTTTGTTTCAGACGGAGACTGAGCGTTATTGAAATGTTTTAATTTTTCTTGACATTTAACAGAGAAGAAAAAAAAAACGCCTCAACGGGGCGCATCTGTGGTTGTCCAGCATTTTGAGGACAACATTTCATTCGCATTCTAGGAAACAGGTTACAAGAAAACAATTGAGCAGCTCACACTTTTCATATGTTCATTTTTCAGATCCACTGTAAAAAAATCAAACCTTAATACCTCCGAGCTATAATTTAGTAATTCGTCTGAAAAATGGGTACCACGAAACAATGACGGTATCCACAGATTTCCCCCATATGATATTCTCGTTGTGTAGCATACTTACGTTTTTAAATGTTCATTTTTCTCTACAATAGACATGGCGCTAAGCCTTCTTCGTGCAAACTGCATTACAGATAGATTAAAAGGAACTGCCCGTTAAAGAAACGAGATTAAAAAAATAAGCGGACGGTCATTATACTGCACAGTACGTCAGTCAGTCGCCAACCGCAAATCCTTCCCCCAGCTGAAACACCCCCAACAACGTAGTTCTGCCCACTCTTAAGATAAAAAATGAACTAGTAAATATATCTTCCAAAAACGCAAATTGCTCGTTTCATTTTTGTTTCCGAATAATAAAACTATGGGCTACACACAATCCCAGTATTACTTGATAAATTCTCCGATCTCCGTGTGTAACAGTCTTGGTCCGTTCTTTATTTACCTCCGACCTCCTCGCAGAGTGACAGGTCACGCTGACGTCACTTCCCCCTCCTCCTGCTGCTTCCTGTCCCCCGAGCAAGATGGCGGACGAAGCCACTCGCAAAGCTGTGTCCGAGATCCCGCTGTTGAAAACCAACTCCGGGCCAAGAGACAAGGAGCTGTGGGTGCAGAGGCTCCGGGAGGAATACCTGGCGCTGATTCAAGTAAGAGATGGCGTTGCCCCGAATCCTGGACTTTATTTTGAAACACTTATGAAAAGCGACCCTTAATTGCTGCAATCATCGCGTCAGAACTAAAAAAAAAAACGAAGTAAGGTAAAGAATGTTTGTCACGATGAGAAAAAACGACACTGTAATAATTATATTTGAAGATAATGTCAGCCTTTAGGATATGAAGACTGACATATGCGTCTTCTGAGGGATTCGTGTAGTTCTGTCAAAAATATCAGCCCGTAGGATACATCCACACGTCATCTGTGTAGAGACAGTAGCTAAGCAGGCTATTTCTGGAACCAAATTTATTTTTTATATACTGAAACTTAAGTAAGTCTGGTACTGGTGAAGAAAAATCGGCTGTACTATCCTACGTAACACCACGGGAATGTTCCAGGGCTTTATACAAAGTGAAGAACCATATGCCACAGGCTGAGAGTCCTGGGGCGCTTAGTTTCTTTGGCTGTCTATTGAACTGTGTTATCTATCGTGCACTCGTTATTTACCTGACCGTGTAAAATTGTCTCCCAAAACAACTGACCAAAGATGTCCATTCTCTTGATCTCTCCAGTACGTGGAGAACAACAAGAAGGCCGACAACGACTGGTTCAGACTGGAGTCCAACAAGGAGGGCACCAGGCAAGTGGGGAGAGAGACAGGTTACAAAGTAGACCTATAAAAACTAGTGAAGGTAAAAGTACAGGAATAAAGGTGCTTTTTTGGGTGCTCTCAATTGTTTAAAGATATGCAGATGTACTATTTGCAAATATAATATTACAAAGGTTCAGGTGGGTAGCTGCGTCAGCATGCGTAGGCTGCAAAGAAGAAAGAAAACATAACTTTTCGGCTGTGGAGCCTTCTTCAGGACTGAAGAAGGCTCCACGGCCGAAACATGTTTTCTTCCTTCTTTTTTCAGCATGGAATAAACCTATTACTTGTTCCTATAATATTGCAAATATTATCAAGATTACTCTTTGAGGGGCTTTTGACACATCTTGTTTTTACTGTTGCAGAATTTTGATGATGAGGTGTTGCTCTGAAACATTATCCACACACAGAGTTCAGTGTGGAGGTTATGTAGACATGTTTCAATGAATATCCTGCAAATGATCAGAAATATTTATTTTTTTCTTCTCTGCGGCAGGTGGTTCGGGAAATGCTGGTACATTCACGATTTGCTGAAGTATGAATTTGACATGGAGTTTGACGTGAGTCTGGAAATTAAACCTCACCAGATGTCATTGTGGTTGTCAGTCTGTCTATATTGACTTATTTTTTTATGTCTATCATTAGGCTGACCATGGTGTATTTTCTATAATAATAACGATCATCTGTACAGTATGTCCCCATGCTTGCCTGAGGTTGTCTCCCGCTTTTCCTCTTTTCCAGATTCCTGTCACTTATCCCACCACAGCTCCGGAAGTGGCAATCCCAGAGCTGGATGGGAAGACAGCCAAAATGTACAGGTAAGAGAGCTGATCACTACGTTACAGGCATTCACAACAGAGCAAGCACTTCTTGAATCGGCATTCATCACACACCAGTGTTTTTTGAGGATTCTGGTTTTAAACAGATATTCGTCCTATTCTTTCTTTATGATTGTATTTTTAATTCATTAGATTGTTGTTACTCTCACTTGATGGAACTTACAAGAGGTATTGTTTGCAAATAAATAGACGTAATTTATCAATATCAATTAAACTTGATATGTCGGTGGAAAACTTTCACATTTAGGGAGCCATTGTGTGAGTCAGCAGCTTTATACAGCAACACTTCGCAAACATGTAGTTCACTGCTTGCATTGAAATAGTGATGTATTTCCGTAAAAGGCACAACCTTCTTCTGGCGATTTTAAAGGAATCGCAGGATGGTTGCAGTGGGAGCTTACCTTTTGCAGAGCTTTTTGTGGCTGGAGTGTGTGGGGAGTCTTAGTCTGGTCCTTCTCTCCACAGGGGTGGGAAGATTTGCCTGACGGACCACTTCAAGCCTCTTTGGGCCCGGAATGTCCCTAAATTCGGCCTGGCTCACCTGATGGCCCTTGGGGTGGGTGTCAGAGGAGATCTCTGCCCTGCATCTTCGTCAAGAGCGGAGACAAAACTGGCATCAGCAATGTTTTTACTGTGATGCACTGACTTCTCTTGTGAACAGACTCTGTACTGACCTCAGCAGTGTCTTTTTCTCCTTTAAAGGCCGGGAGTCATTTGAAACGGAGGGGAAGTGGAGAGGTTCTGAGTTTTGGGAGGGAGTACAAAAAGACTAAGCGATTTTCTCTTTTTCTCTCTCCTCTCACCCTTAGCTGGGGCCCTGGCTGGCTGTGGAGATCCCTGACCTCATTGCCAAGGGGCTCATTCAGCACAAGGAACAGCAGAGCAGCTGAGTCAGTGGGGCTGCACCCTGCAGACACAGACAGAGGGAGAGCACCCCACTCCAGCACACCTTGTTTCTGCACCCCGTTTTTTGTTGTGAGCAAGAACTGCCCTCAAGGGCTTCACTGGAATTCACCTCTGCCTGTTGTGGGGGGACAAAATGAATCTCATGAGCGCACAGGAAGAAAAGACACTAGAGTTTCGCTCCGTCTCTGGCGTTCTGTATCCAGAACTCTTCTACATCATATTAAGGTTATTGCTTGGTTGTTGAGAAAGGAAGAACTAACATGCTACTTTATCGGACCGAATCATTTACACTTCTTTTAGTAACTTATAAACTGGCATTCTGAAAGATTTATATCGCAGCTGTATTTAGCTGTGTAGTAAGAAACTGTATTTTTTTTGTGATGCTTCCTTGGGTGAACAAAAAGTTAACTTAGCACCTTGTTTGAAGTATTAAGAATTCGGGCCTGGGTGTTTAAAGACATACTCACAGAAAATGTCCCCTGAAAAGAAATTTAAACTGTGCCTAAATTACCAAAATGGACCAGTGTTCTACCTTCAGACAAAAGACAAAAAAAAAAAACACTTGTGTCAAGTCTGTCTAGTTGTACAACAAGCCACTCATCGTGGCTTTAAGAAAGCAGTTCCCAAGCCTTCAGGCGTGTGCTTGCTGCTCTGCTCTCTCTTACCTGGCAGGGCCCTTCTTTCTGAAGTGTCTCAAGAAGGTCAGAGCAGCACCAGCAAACAGAAACAGAACCAGCCTGGCTGCTTCTGTGTGGGGTGAGACAGTGCCGCCCTGCCAGCCTGAGGCTACTGTGGGTCCCAGAACTGGCACGAGGTTGTGGGGGGCAGGAGAGGGAGTGAGAGGATGTAAAAACAAGATGAGCTCATTTCATCACTCTCAAATGATGGATGCACTTTTTTTATTCTCTTTGGCTGTAAAATAAATAAAAGATGATTCACGTGCACAGGCCTTGTTCCTTATTCTTGGCATGATGTGTGACCTTATGGAGATGGGGAAGAGGGAAAAGGGTGAACCACACAGTTTTTCTTCCGCTGTTGATCTTTTAATTTAAGGAGGACTGTGAGATGCTGTCCATAGTGAAAACAACCCATTACCAGCACAACTTGCCAGCACACACTGCAGAAGAAGCAGCAGAGAAGAGATCAAGGAATGCAGGTTGTTAACACAGAGCTGAAACTGGAACCAAATTTCAAGTTTTGAAACTGGTGCTCTCTGGAATTCTTGCAGGGATAAACAAAAAGCTCTTCAGCAGACAAAAGCTAGCATTAAATACTGGGTTGAGTCTGAAATGCCAAATCCTGTACACACGTAGCCAAGAAACACAATCCAGAGGAACACAGATGCAATGGAAGGACTAAGTTATCTTCAGCTGTGATTAATCACACCTAATTAAGACCTAGCCTTGTTTTAGTTCTGGAGGCTGGATAAGGTGGCTATGTCTAACAGCAGATACCATACAGACTCCAAAGTAAATGTGCATAATGCCAAAATACCAAATGCAACCCTTAGTAAAATGTGATGGATCCTGAGTAAGGTATTAGTAATGCATTTGAAAACCCTGCACTGCAAAATATGATTGTTAAAAAAATCACTCTTCTATTACTATGTGTGCTCTTTGTTATTTATTAACTAGCACATAACCTCTGCACGAGGTCTAATAATTATCAATAAGAAGCATACATCTCTGCTTTGACATACATGATAAGAACAGAACGCAGAGATTGAACTGAAATTTCTGTTTCAGAAAGAGTAGTCTAAATAAGCTATAATACCTAAAAAAAAAGGGGCAGATTTACCCGAAAAGTGTAACTTTATAGCTAAGCTCATTTTGCAGGCAAACATTCATTAAAACCGTATGCTACAGGACATCTTACCGATCCTTAACATTTTGGTGGGCTGAATTTCGTGCAGTAAACTTACATCTGGAAGACAAGTATGACACGGCATTATTTTTTACAAAGTTTGTGAAAATCACAGATGCACTACTCAGTGACTCACAATTCAGCCAATCGCCTTTCAGTTGTCCTGAACTCCGCCAAGTAGCCAATGAGACTCGAGGTGGGCGGGCCAGTGACACGTGGTCCATTATTGTACCGGAAACATATCGACGAAGCATGGAATGTAAGTGACATCACTTATTAATTACGCCGATTTATTCACTCGAATTACAGTTTCATGCATTTGGAAAGTGAAAATGGAGCGTGTAGTTATTTAAACGTCTGACCGTTCAGAGACAGCTGGCTTGGCTCCTACCCTGTCTAATAAAAAGCTGCAAGTGTTCAAAGAAATTTGACTGTATTACCGATTTTCTCTCGCGATGTCGGTCCTCAATTCGTCTGTTGCAGCGCTGTTATTGTTGTCTAAACAGTGCCGGGATCCTGAAATCTCAGTCTTATATCTTCTATTACTATGGGTGCTCTCTGTTAGTTTATTTTTACAATTTAGAGAACACACAAACAGTGAGCTCAACACAAGATGATGTACCTGAAGGCTGTGCTTAACCATTTTGCTGTTCGTAATTTATGTATTTTTATTTCCGGACACGACCTATTTGAAAAACCCGTTCTCCCTGGTTAGATATGAAGGCACTGAACAATTTATAATTGTTTTTTTATTTATACTACCGCTTTTTATTGTAGAATGTATTTTTCCTAGGGAATTCCTACGAATAATTGTTTGATCACCATAAATCGCTGCGCTGTGCTCAACTGATACTAACCCTTGTGAATAAAACAGTGGGATTATTTCTGGTTTATGTCGCGTTTGATCATACTTCTTTGAATTCATGAAGATGAGCGTCGACTGGAAACGGATAACACGACATACTTCAAACTAAAGTTGTGTATACTGGCAACGCCATGTGGCTCATTGTAGTAATTATGTACGAGAGTCCCCAGTTCTGGTCCTGGAGGGTTGAAGTGTTTACCTGCCTCAGCTTATTACTGGTTGTAACTGGACTAACTGGACCGGTTAGTTCCCTGCTGGAAAGTAACAGTAACTCAGTAATTCTGAGTTACAGATGCAACATTTCAACTGTGGAACCTAGTCATTTTATCCTAATTAAGTGGTAGAGGGCCTCTCTCCTAGTAAATATATTTTCAACGCAAATTATCGCCAGATTTATAAGTCTATACAAGTGCCTGGGTCTCCCACCATGCAAACTGATCCCACCTGCCTCAGCATTTGTGCAGGTCTGCAAGGTTCCTGGCTGGAGGTCAGGCGTCTTGGCACTCTTAAAGACAGTAGCCTGGGGCTGGCTAAGATCTGAAACTGCTATGCATGGGGAGCTGGCTCTCTGCATCCTGGCCAACATGTTTATGACCGCTTTTAAACAGTTGCCGCAGATGCAGAATATGAGTTAAAAGTTGAATTATCTCTCAAAGGGCTCAATTAAGTAATTGTGTTAAACAGGCATCTATTATGCACTTCTGATCAGGGGGGAAGATGGGCATCCAAATCAAGGAGGAGACCCCTGACCTGGAGCTCAGCTGGGTGAAGCAGGAGGAGATCGAGGCAGATTCCAGGCAGGAGACCCCTGACCCGGGGAGCCCCTGGATAAAAGAAGAGCCCTCTGAGCATGGAACTCACAGCACTGCCGAGACTGTGGGGGAGCTGGGACACATCTGCATTGTGGGAGAGGTTCCTGAGCTGAAAGAGGAAGGCACTAAAGAAGAGAAGGCTTGGGATCTGTGTCCCGATGAGCCAGAGGAGAAACAGCACAGCCTGGAGCTCAGCACTGGGCTTCAGCCTCTTCATGTAGCTGAAGGACTCCACCAAGGTGCATAATCGCAACATTTCTTTATGAGCTGTTTAAGACACATGCAGATGGTTAATATTGGAGCTCCTATCTAAAATCCTTAAAGTAACTAAAAACAAGTATATAACCTGTAATGACTGTAACTGATTAAAGACAGGCTGTGCACAGGGTTTATTTCAAGGCAGGTTAAACATATAGAAGCCTCTTTTTTACAGTAGAGCATTTTTCAGGCTTACGATTGTGTTTTGGGAAACACCTACTGTACTTATTTTCAGTTATAACCTCCAAATGTAAGATCCTATTGTAACCCATAGAAGGGCCAGCAGGTGGCAGTGTGCACTCACAGGACTGTATTCACTTCCTTTCCGTTCATGTTCCAACAGTGACTGCAGTGTCCTGCTCTCGTCCACTGCAGGCTCACGGAGAGATGGCTCCAGGGCTCTGTCTGAAGCCCTCCACCCCGACGCCAAGCCAGGGATGAAAACGGAGCAGCAGGACGGAGCAGGGATCTTGCCGGCTGTCCAGCAGTGCACGAAGTGTGGGCAGAGCTTTTCCCCCGGGGACACTGCTGCCTCCAGACCCTTGTTCCTGACTGGAGACCCCCCATACCGCTGCCCAGAGTGCGGGGACTCCTTTATCCAGCTGGGCAACTTCAAATCTCACCAGCGCGTGCACACCAACGAGAGCCAGCTGCGCTGCCCGGCCTGCAAGCGCTTGGCCAGGGACTTGGGCAGCGTGGAGATCTGCCAGAGCGTGCCGGTGAGGGAGACGCCCTACAGCTGCGGCCAGTGCGAGGCCAGCTTCAGCACCACGGTGGCGCTGAAGTACCACCAGAGGGAGCACACCGGGGAGCGCCTGTTCCACTGCCTGGTCTGCGGCAAGAGTTTCAGCCGGGCGCAGCACCTGCGCAACCACCGCAGGATCCACTCGGGAGAGACACCCTACCGCTGCGGCGACTGCGGCAAGAGCTTCAACCAGTCGGGGGCGCTGAAGAGGCACCAGCGCATCCACACGGGTGAGATGCCCTACCATTGCAACGAGTGCGGCCGCAGGTTCATCCATGGCGGTGCCCTCAACATGCACCACCGCCGAGCCCACGCCGGCAAGACCCCCTACCGCTGCGCGCATTGCGGAGACGGGTTCACCTATGCCTACCAGCTGAAGGGACATTTGTGCAACGGCCCCCAGTGCTCGCGATAGTGACAGGCCTGCCGCAGGCAGCACTGCCACACGAAGCTTGGCAATCAGGTGTAACTCCCTCCCCTTGACGGGCAGAGAACAGCAGGGTGAGCCACCCCAGGCATTCCAACCCCCAGGTGCTGCGTTCGTCCACACAGACAGACCAGGTGAGAAATGACATGCTGTGTGTCGGCTTCAACACTATGATCTGCAGCTCTTGCAACCCTGGGACACTTCAGGCTGAAGCATACTGCCCTTCACACACGTGAGAAAAAACAGCCAGGTAAAATCTGAACTGAGGAATTATGAGATCTTTTTATAAGACATGGATGCTTCATTGTTAGGAAAGATGGAAAGAGAAGAACTTACAGCTGACCTGTGTGAGGCTGTATTCCGTGATGTTGTGTTAGAAAAGGGGGTTCGCTGGAGTCGGTACAGCACAGAAGGTGGCCTGCCTGACTGGCACATACACCCCAGTAGGAGAGAAGGTCTGGGGTCTCTCTCTGAGGTGACACTCCTCCACCTGCCCAAACTACATGACAGCGGTACAGCACCTCTGCAGCACACTCAACTTCAGGTTCGGGGAGACACTCCCCTGTCACAAGTCCCCTCTGTGTGTCCTGGTACATTTGTACTGGGTCTCCCTTTCCTCACCAGCCAGGAAAGAGACCCTAACTGTTATGTGGCAGGGGAGGTTGTTCAGTTATATCATCAGCAGCAGAGCTTTATATTTGTGAGATGAGCTCTTGGAAAAACGTCTCTGGTACTTTATGAATGTTACTACTTAAAGTAATAGTAATCCCAACTAAAAGAAAAAACAACCTACTCAGAGTGTTCATGCCTTCAGCTACAATGACAGAACATACTACAAACTTCCTGAACTTTCTTAGTAGGAAGTAGACTAAGTGCTTTATTGGTGGATGAGCCCAGGAGCCCAGGAGTCTTCTAATTGAATAATAGCTTACTGTTTATTGTGAGTAGGACACCCTCTTTTTATAACTGCACTATCTCCATCTGTCTAACTTCTCCTCCACCACTCCAGAAGGTGGTGCTGCATTTTCAAGCTTGTCTGGACCCTAGAGAAGAGATGAAAGGAGACGTCAATCGGGTATCATCTAGTCCAGGTCTCTCAAACGCAGATCCTGGAGGGCCTTGCATCCTCTGGCTACTGGTACTACCTAAGTAGTCAATTAAACAATTAACCTAATTATTTTCTACATTAGGCCTACATATAATTTTCTTAAAGTCTTTTACAGTTGATTAAACAAGACATTCTTTTCATTTCAGGTGTATTAACATAAATCACCTCATGATCAGGTTAGGAGTATCACCATCATGCAGCTAACTAAATAGCTAGAACAACCATGTAACTGAGAAACTGGGTGGAACAGAAAACAGAAGACACCGGGACTCCAAGACCCCTGCTGTAAACAAATGAAAATTTGTTTTCAATATTAATAAAATATTAGAAAAGCTGCATTTTATTAACTGCATTTCATGCAGCACGCTGTTTACTATACCTCTGCACCAGACATTCCATCTTTCAGCCTTTTTAATGGGGCTTCCTAGGCCCCTATGGGTAAGTAACAGCAGTAGTACAAGCGCAGTGGTGTTGTGTTCACAGGGGGTTCGCTGGAGTCAGTATACAGTAGCACAGCCCCCATCCTCCTGACCCCAGGGGGTGCAACACAGAGGTGAAGCCACACTGTGTGTCCAGTGTTCCGGTTGTCACAGCAACATCCCTGCTCCCAAGGCCAGGGGTTGGGAATGCTGGAAAGTCAGGAGAATCTCCGGAGAATCCTGACTTGTGGAAGAATGGAGATATTGAAGGAAGCACCGTGGGAAAGTAGCTAGAGGAGAAGGCCTTGTGGTATAGTTGCTCAGGGAACTCATAGTACTTGTTTTAAAGTTAACTGACCCAGTAAAACAGACCTTAGTGCAGGGGTCTCTGGTAGCGGTCCTGGAAGGCTGAAGAGCTGGAAGAAGCTGTTTGATTTGTCCCATTATGCCAATAATGAGTTGATTAAATGTATTAAGCGGAGAGAGACACTGCATGTGTCTATAACAGATCTATTTGCTGCTTTAGAGTTCTTTTCAGTCCTTGGTTTAAAACAAAATTTGTTAATTTTAACTATCTGTACCTATGCCTATACCCTAGGTACCATGAAATACCCTGTCAACTTCAGGATACTGTACTTCATGCAGTCACTCCACTGCAATTTTCCTCACGGGATCAATAAAGTATCAATCCACAACTTGCTAATAAAGAATTTGCTCCCTTATTTCAGACTAAACAGCTCTTAAGCTTTATAGCTGAGAAATTGCTGCTGATCAGACACCTCGTGAAGTGAGTCAGTGTTTTTCATTCTGCTTCAGTCTAGCTTGTTATATTTATATGAATGAAGGCAGTTCTGAAACTCATTTTACTAGCACAGGTATCTTCCCAATTACAATATCTCAGATATTTAAAAGCTGAGCACAAATTTAAGTAAAGGATTCAAATAGAAAATTGCAAATTAGAATTTGGGTTGAGAAAATAGGAGAAGAGTGATTCCCAGCACCATGGTTGATAAGCACCGCACTGGGGGGGGGGGTATATTTTTAAAATCAAGGCCTGAGTGCAGAAACAATTGTCAACAAGCAGGCTGATCAGTACCTGACACCAATTAACACTGGCAATTAAAAGCAGGGAACACAAACCAGTAGACACAAGACCAAGACTGAAGTGTTTCTCAGCATGAGTTTTCATTAAGGCTCTAATTAAAAAAGTTCACATTGAGTTTAAATGTCAGTGCTGCTTGTTAGTGTCATAGCATGGCTAAGCACCAGGCATAAATCCCAGTAAGTAGGTGTGTGTGCTGTCCTAAACTAGTCCTTACGTAGTCCTGCAGACATGAATCAACAATCTTACCAATCAGATGTGCCCTCTGCAAATGTAGTGATCTACGAAAAGTGTCAGCACAGATGTTGTTTCTGTTGAGTTACTTGCTTGAACAGACATGCCTTGACAGGGGAAGTGTCTGGAGTTCTCTTCAACATACACTCTGCTTTGCCACGTTCATTCTGGGCTGGTGACAGTTCTGAAACATGATGCACATTTCAGCGAACAGCCGTGCGTGACTCAGTGGTTCATCCTGCACAAGTTCCCAAGCCTTCTGTGCCTCCCTGGTGGCTTCTGTGAATTGGAAAAGCAGTAAATGGCACCAGCGAATTAATTTGCACGCTCACGTCTTTGTAAGACAGTTTTGGCTTTCAGTGCCACCCACTGCCCCCAAGAGAAATTGATTACACCGAGAAGGAACAGCACAGGGAGTAAACAAAGCAAATACACTCCTATTTTATTTTCTTGAAAGACAAACAATGTCAAGAATTTTGTTCAGTACATTCAAGAGACTGTGAGAACAAAGACAGGCAAAACAATCCAAGAGCTTCACCTTCAAAAAAAGCCACATTTTCTTTGAGTGTCTAATTTCGAACAAAAAAAAAAAACTTTCTTTTAAAACTCCCATTTGTTTTTAAACTGGTAATTGCATAGGGTGGTGTGGAAACTGGAGAGAGACCCACGTCCTCTTCTGCACCTTTGACAGCAGAACAAACTTCACATTAACCAACGTTTCATTTTCCGCCCCAATTCAGTCCTTAGGAAGGGAAACGTTGACAGAAACTGGGATACACTTTCAGAATAAATTAGCATGATCTGTTAATATATTGATGTGTTTTTAATGGGATTTCACCAAAAGCACAACATTGTTTAAAGACCAGAGAATGTGGCTTGAAATTGTAGATATTTTCATTGCTTTAGGCTTGATAAAAGCATGTTAAAAAGTTCCCTAAGAATAAGAACACTTAATGTATTGGTAGACAATATTGTGCATTCTTAAACTGGGGATCAGGTTATTCACTCATTAAAAAGACTTGTAAAATTCCATGCTCCTATTCGAAGTTCCTTGGGCTACAGAAATTCCTGTTAAAGAGCTGCAAACCCTAGACAATATCTGCCTCACTCCTCATCAAAGTTGTGAGCGCTTGATGAGCACCATGGTGTAAGCAGTGTAAGGTATGATGTAGCGCATATAGTGTGATGCAGCTGTGGTAAAATACATGGAAGTATGAAAAAGCCAGATGCAAACCAGGGATCTTCACTGCACTGAACCCCCGAGACTCCAGGGTCAGTGGGACCTCTTGCTGTAGCTATACTGCTACAATCAGGATGATGCATACTGGAAAGCCATTTGTTCCCGCTGAGAGTCTCAGTGACCTGAACCCTTTCCTGGAAGCACAGGGCTCAAGGCGGGACTACAGCCTGGACAGTATACCAGGTCTATCACAGGGTCATGCATGCACACACCTTGAGGCTCCATCTGCATCAACTAACCTATTAACCAAGCTCCACACAGAAAGCATCCCAGTCCGGAATCTAAGTGTTCTGAGGCAGCAGTGCTATCCACTATACCCCTGCACCACTTACAATAAGGGAGAGTGAAAGGTAAATGGAGCAGATGCCATAGGTTGCTCTATGCATCTAGAAATGAAGAGGTTTATCATTTTACAGGCAGACATACGTTCTGTTTAATGAACAATGAGTAACTTTCTGTTTGCTTAAGAATGACAATCTACCATCCCTCATGATTGCTGAGCATCTGCATTGGGTGGCAAGTTGAATATGATTCTGCTCTCCCAAAACATGAACGATTTATGAACTGATTCTGCATCACATACTGAACAACAGCCTGCTGGAAGATTTAGAATGATATTTTGGCAACTGAACTTGATCTCAAAATTAACAGCATGATTTTGATTATCTGTAGCAAAATACGTTAGAAAAGAAATATAAACCTGCATAAAATGCAGAAATGGCAGGAAGATCTCTCTCATTAAAGAAGAGCTATGTCCACAACACACATGAAATCCACTGCTCTCCAAGTCCATTCTGGAAAACCTGCTCATGGGTTTTTGGGGTATGAAGTACGAATGTGACTTCACTTTTCACTGGATGGGCCCATCATGCAGCATGAAGAAACAGCACTGTACTACTATTATGAGTGATTTATAAACCAATCTGTTATGTAAATTCAGGTTAAAGACACTGGTTGCTGATCTTGGCTGACCGGGTGCTTTGTCATGGATCCCTGTTTCTAGACTCGGGTGGGGAGCACATTCATATACCCTGATCCCCAACAGCTCGTATGTAAACAAGGGGCACCCTTCTCTTGGGCATCCACCAAGTGTGCCAAGTGGAGTATAAAATAATCCCCTATACAATGACAATTACCTCATTAGCACCCCCTCCCCCCAATTGACCATGAAGGACAAAGATGTTACTGACCCACGAGGGTGCTACTGAGCGGACCCTGGCATTCCCACGTTAAGTGGCTTTGAAATGAGTTGGTTTTTGGGCTGGCAATAACACTGAAGATTCTGCAAACCATCTCACTACCTGATGATGCAACAATGAAGAGTCTCTGCACTGACCTCTCTAGAGTGGGCACTGGCAATCTCTGAAGCATGCCGGCACAAGCACAAGCGATCTCCGAAGGATGAGCACAGGTGATGTCTCTAGGGTGGACACAGGCGATTTCTGAAGCATGGGCACAAGCGGTGTCTCCAGGGCGAGCACAGGCGATCTCTTTAGGATGGGCACGGGCAATCTTATAAGGGCAGGCCCAGGCAATGTCTGAAGCATGGGCATAGGTGATCTCTAACGTGGGCACAGACAATCTCTCTAGGGTGAGCACAGAGCAGAGAGAAGGTGTCAGATTGCCTCACTGCATACCCTAAAATCATATAATATGTCATAGTCTGTCAATGCAATTCAGTAATTTGATAGCACTTAAATAAGTTAAACAGAAACAATACCTGTAAGGGAAGCAAAAAACAAAGGACCTTCTATTCACAGGGCTAAATTACAAGTTACTTAATATTCATCTCTAAGAATGCCTTAAAATGCACCCCGATGATGTCTGGAGGTTTTGAACAGCTTTGCCACTAAATCCTACAACCAGACCTACAAACTCTAGCCCCTGCATCAAGGCTGCCAGAGACAATTGGGAATGAGATACTGTAGAAGGTGGAACCCACAGAAAGTGCAATGCAGGCTTTGAACAGCTTCTATTCATATGAATGATAAAATAGCCCAAATGGGTTTTTTGGAATACTAAACTCTTAACTTTGAATATCTCTTCTGAATAATTTCCTTCTGAATTTATAGCTAGGGAAGGAATTTGACAAATTACAAAAAGCACAAGCAGCCACCATGGGAGATTTCCCAACACTATTCCCACTTCGGCCATTGGAAGGACCACCCAGCACTCCTCAGCACGCTCTGTACTTCAGCAAGCGTCAGTCTAGAGACTTTGTTGGTGCCCACTGAGTGCAGGTCTGATGAAGATGACCCCAGTCTGAAGGAGGTTCGAATGAGACTGACTGAGCCATGTCTGGCTCATGTACATGAAACATAAAAATATTTTTTTTTTATGTTGAACTAAATACAAAAAAAAGTTATGCTCCCCTGTTTAGCAGGCAGTCTGCTTCAGTTACAGCTCCCATTCAGCTGTAGGACCGGCTTGTACAGAGGGTCCAGTGGTACCGGGCTGGACAGGAATCTTGAACACACCTCTACCCATTAGATTTCACTTAACAGTGGAGAAATCTCGTAATTGCAAAAGGAAATTAATTGCCTTTCCATGGGCTACATCATTTCTGTATGCACACTATTTTCGCAGACAGCCCCCGAAAATGGCTATTTAACCTTATTAACCTTATGCAGCAAAAGTGCAATCCTCACAAATGCATGCAACAGCAAATCAAATGCAACTTTAAGAAAACTTGTGCATATTTTCAAATGCTTGTATATAGAAATTGTTACTTAAATCTCTGAATCTTGATTGGTTAAAAGCATTCAGCTTGATAAACTTCAGGCTATGTACCACAGATACTTGGTAACTAACTCATTAATTAGACCTTTTGATATGCAAAGAGCAGTTCTAACCTATAATACAGATACCCAGAAGTCACGTTGCCCATTTATTAATGAGCAGTAGGAAGTCAAACAAAAACCCTGAAGACTGCAAATGAAGGAATTAATCCATGGGGATGTATTCTGGCAAATAATGAGTTTTTTTTTTAACAGATTTCTTCCATGTTCATTGATTCCTGATTGCTGAAAACATGTTTTGAGTTACTTACTACCAGGTATTCCTTCCAAACATAATTAGCCCCAATCCACAACCTGGCCCTGGGCCTTTGCCCTGCTGTCAGAGAGACCTACACACGGAAGAGCAATGTAGCGCCCTTACTTGATTTGTCAAAGCTGCAGAGGAGTAGGAGGGGAACACTACGCAAACCAGCTAAGGGTTTTCAAAGGAAATGGCTTAGGGATACTGTAGTATGATAAAAGGATGCATTCAATGTGACAAAGTCCCTCGTGGAATTGTACAACACTGAATGCAGTACTGAGTTCCACATGGAGCATCTATATGACACTGCAGTACCTTCCGCGCAGCACTTTTGCTTTCACGCACAGCACAGTCTTCTGTTTTTTTCTAGGCGGCACCTTTACCTGCAGGCCTGAGCTTCACTCTCGCAGCTAACTATTGCTGCAGATGTCTGGGGAAGAAACTGGCACAGGACTGGCCATACAAACGAAGAGAGCACCTAGCCTCCTGTCACTAAGCGCTGTCCAGTTTGGCTCTTGGGAGAAACCTGAGAGATCAGCTTCCAAACCTTGGGAACAGATAGGCTGATAAAGCTGAACACACTGCCATCTGGTATCTACACCCACCAAAGACAGACTTGCTCCTGATGGGTTTTTAGCGACGTTAAAAGACACTCTGAAATACCTGACAGCAATGGCTACAGTAAAGAAGTCCTGCACTCAACCCAATCAAGATCAAGGCAAGGGGCCCCTCCTAGTTTCCATTCTCTTTCTGCAGCGGACCGAGGATAAGCTCCAGCTGATCCAGAGCCAACCTCAACTGCACAGCAAGAGCAGAGCTTTGTTCAGTCCATGCCTTTTCGTCTTCTTGCTAAAGTACGAAATGCTCCAATGATTTGTTCTGAACACTCTCACCTCACTTTCCTAGAGATTAACGTTGGCTTCAGAAATGTATAATTGATATTTTAAATAGAAAGTTATCATTCAAAAAGGCCTGGAACTGAGTCATGGCAACAGTTTTATCTCAGCTAAACACCTAAACCATTAATCATTTATGTTACACAGCCATTTATATTGTGTGTGTGTATGTGGAGGGGTGACCTTTGAAACAAATAAAAAGCTAAAATCTTATTCACAGGAATACGTGAGATCTGAGAATCATAAATTAAAATGTATAAAAGCTATCTTTACTGGCAGTTTTTCATCCAGAAAGCTTTGTTAACCAGCTTGAAAAGCTTAAAAGCTTCCAGCAACTCCCCGACTAATTCATAATTGGTGCAGTCCCCACTTCGGGAAGCTTCCACAATGCTGGAGTGAAAAGGAATACTGCGGGATTAACTACCAGCCAAAAACTGGACATTATAAAGTGCCTTAAAAGAGGAGATAATCGCAACGTGATGATGAAGGAATTTAACACTGGCTCATCGCAGACAAACAACATTAAGGCCCAGAAAACAGATTTTCCAAAGTTTGTGGTCGATGTTCTCAAAGAGAGAAAGCGATTTAAAAAAAGTCAGATTTTGCATAAAACAACACAGTTAGATAGAAGTTTTGTATGAATCTTTTTCACTTAATTTTTCAGTTAAACAGCACAGCCCAGAGAAGTGAAAGTGAGAAATCATGTGTAGTCATTAGTGTAGGGTATAGTTATCACATTACAACACTCCTGATTTAAATGTCTAATATGTCACTGGTGAGCATAGAACAATATTTTAAAGCACTTTTAATTTTTTTTTCAGAGATTAAATATAGACTTATTTCAAATCTACAGTTTATTCTTGAACATTCTGCAGTAATATTTTTATTTACCAGCTTCTCTGCTTCACCAACATACTCTGTTCCCCAAGGATGCTGGATGACAAAGCTCCCCCTCTTTAAATAGAAAATTCCCAGTTACAACCAAATTTGTTCTACCATCACCCAGTTTAAAACGGGTTTGTTCCAAATTTCAAAGGGAAAGCAGGATGAGCGAATGAATTAACCAAAGGACTGCAGGACTGTGGATGCGTTTCTGGACTCATCTGTCTGTTCCCCTGTCACTCCTGGTCAGTCATTCTTCACCTCTCTGGCAGGCACCAGAAACAGCACAGAATGCATGACTAACCACAGACCTCTGAATCCTCCCCTCCCCATTCCGAAACCACATCAGACGGGAAGACAGCAGCTTCCTGACATCTCACAGCACACAGAATACAGGACTCAAGAGATGGTGGCCACAATGTTCTGTCTCATACCCTGTTTCTATTTACAGAGAGACCCCCAGACTGATAGTGCCACCCCCCCGGTCTCAGAGTGCTGGCTGGCACCATAATGAGATCACAAACTTGGGGTTGCTCCAAAGTAAAGATTGGGGTGAAGTGAAGAAGCAGGAAGGAGACAGCCTTCCTAAACTGCCAGAACTGTGCAGCTGAGAACTGCGCAGTAAAATAAAATATAATGTGCTATAATTTTTGTAATTAAAATAAAAAAAAAGTTCTCTGGTCTTATCGTGAATGAAAACTACACCTCAGAGAAACATGAGCCAGTGTGGACAGTGACAGACAAAAAACCACATAAAAACTCAATGTGGCAATAAGGCATGAGGAAGCGTTCAGGACCACCATCATGAGAGTCAAGGCAGGTACATACAGTACAGAGCACACAGCACACAGTCCCGCATGTGACCAGGAGTCCCATCAGAGTGTCTGGAAGAGTACAGGACAGGACAGAGACGGGTAAGAGGAGCCACTGGATGGCTCTGGCCTGTCAGGGCCTGTGAGACAGATTCTAAAAACAAGGCAACACTTCAAATACACAGCTGCTGTACCTCTGCGTCTGTTGTTCCCACGTTGCCTCTGCTTCTTTGTCTTTCAAAAAATGTCTTTAAAACTTTTTGAATGCAATTATCGCGGTTTAAAAAAAAACTCGCATCACATTCTAGTTTCCAGTTTTCCGCTGGAACGGGGCTGCTCCCCACCAGGCAGCGAGGGAGCCCCGGTGCTCCTGTGTCGTCGGCCAGGAGAGAGAGCCGCCTCGCGGTGCAGCGACACCAGTGCAGGGTCCCCCAGCAGGTTTTTTTTGGCACTTTTTAAAAATCTGAAGTTACGATTCATGATGCTTTTTTTTTTCCCCAAAAAAAGCTGCAGTTTGAAAAGGCTCTTGTCTTTAGGCCCAGTGCCCCGCGAGGAAAATCGAAACAACATTCCTAAAAACGATAACGCTAATTTAAAACTTTTCAGCAAAAATAATTTAGAAAGAAAACAATGGGAAAAAAAAGGAAAAGACCCCTGGAGTGAAAACTGCATAGTAGGGTGACTGTCCGCTAAGGACCCTGCTGGGCTGGGTGTCTGGGGCCTGGCTATTGCCTGGCAGGCTGTTGGGAGAGCCAAAAGGAAGCTCACTCCCGGGTGGGTGTGGGTGTGGGGTGGGGGGGCCGCCTGGCCAGGCTCCTGACCTCTCTTCTCCAGGGCAGGAGGGGACTGGTCCGCTAGTGCCCTGCAACCCAGCAATCCCCAGACAACTGCGTGAGCGGCTGGCGGGCAGCAGGGCGGCGCCTACTCAGGTTCACTGCTGTTGGTGGCCTTCTCCCACTCCAGGCTCTCCTCGCTGTGGACGGGGGAGGCGCCGCTGGCCCCGGGGGGCCGGGCTCTCAGGCCTTGGAAGCGCCGGCACTCCGGGCAGACACGGATGTGGGTGCAGCCCCGTGCCACCAAGGCCGCCTCCTGCGCCAGTCTGTGTGCCAGAGGCTCCGGGGCCCCGCTGCCCCCGCACAGCTTGCCGTTGCTAAGGCTGGCGGCGCCACGGGCCCTTCGCTCTTCGGGGGGCAGGGGC